AACGCAGTTGACAATAACACCTCATCCTGCCCTCTATGAATGGTGGTAGAAATATTTGCCGATAACGTTATGTTGACGTTAGGTTCTGACTTAGTTTGCGCCGGCGGCGGTAACGGAACGCGCTCACTGTGATCCCGATGCGGACCCGGTTTGCTATTGCTATCAATCACGTGAATTAGCGTATGATGTTTACGCTTGCATATTCTACAACATGGCTTTTTGCAATAATTTGCGTAATGACCGCTACTAAGACAATTAAAACAAATCTTCATATTAGGTACTAATTGAAGACGTGCATCGTTACTCAGCGCCTAGAACGGGGGACAATTGTTTAGTTTATGGTCATCGTTGCATTTTGGACATGACTTTGCGTTAAAAGAACTCTTATTATCACTGTTATTCGCGCTCGGAATCGATACCAGTCTTCAGTTTTGCGTTTTTCTGTGAACTAGTGTAAGTGTTCGTACTATTGTATGATAATTCTAGTGTTTCAATTAAGTCTGCCCGGTTTTTGCATAAAATCAAGAAACGATTGAAGCGTAGTGGGTTCATCGTTGGTGAAATTACTCTTGCGTTGTTCCCACTTACGAAAGGTTCTTGTGTCTAACTTCTGTGTGACAATATAAATCAACAGTGTGTTTGTTGTTTCGCCTAAACATTCTAACGTGCGTATATTTTTGCTTGCCTGATCTATAACGCATTTTAATGATGCAGAAGACTCCTTTGCGATCGGTTCGATGTTGAATAAAGCAGAAACGTGATTTTGAATTAATAACCGCTTATTGTTGAAGCGGTCGCATAGGAGTTGCCATGCTATATTGTAGTTAGAAGCAGAAAATTCAATAGACTGAATGATTACCTTAGCCGACCCTTCTAAAGACGCTCTTAAATAATAAAATTTGTTAATTTCGTCTATGTCGTCATTCGTGTGTATGAGACATAAAAAGTGTCGTGGAATTTTAACCAATTCTCATATGAACCACCAAACCTTGGCAACTGAACTGTAAGCAATTTAATGGCGTTAAAACGAGAGGAGCCTACTTAGGTACCTACTACGCGATTTGTGATAACCAGCAGTGATTTGTTGCGCTTTTGATACCAATTTAAAGTAACGACTCTCGAAATCGCTACGAGCAGACAATTGTCTTCAAAATCATTGGTAATGCACTCGATTCTTGTCTGAACTTCGTCGTATAGCATACAATGAATCAATCTTACTATTCGTAGTTATAACTCGCTTATTTCCGTTTCTTCAATGGAATGAACGTCTAATGAGTTCAAATAACTTTCAAAAATGGTTAATCGACTCTTATAACTAGCACGTTTCTTATTTAGATCACTTTCCTCGTTTTTGCGCCTCTTTCAGTCATTTTGGAAGGCGGTTCCTGGACCTGGAACGTTTCACAAATGATTTATGTAAATAACCTATGTATACTATGTACTCTCTTTATTAACAGTTCACAGCTGATTAAATGTTGAAATATGTACATAAATGATAACATTAACGCTAATTTACAAAATTTATGATTGCAAAGTAATTTCTTCAATTAAGTAATTATGCAATAATTATAGATAAATTGCGTACATACCAAAAGTGAAGTTATAAAATAATACAGAACTAAGTTGTGTAAGAAACGTACAAGCGGCCGTACCACGGAAACTGAATGCATTATACAAAAGTGCGTTCGTTCTATATTAATGGCGTATTAACAAAGGATCACAAATATATCGCATCAAGTAAAGCCGCAATGTATTACAAATATGAGGCATACACTAGGTTGCATATTTGTTTTCTCGAAATTCATTCAAAACCAAAATAATTGTTTTTAAAATAAATTATGCATCTTCTGATTACAAACTTGCCCGTGGACGAAAACGTTTACCCGTTTATACAGTTATGGTGCTTTTGAAGTTTATAATGTCACAGTTATGCATTTTTCGCGTTTTCGACTGGTGTTAATCAATGATAACGGTCGCGCGCGTTCTGAAGTGTAGCAGCGGCAACTAAGTGAATTTCACTTACTTTGGGCACGAGAAGTACGTACACTTGCGGCGTCTATCTAGATATATGTGTGTGGTTACCATACAAGTTCTATACTACCGGAATGAGAGTGTTGCGAGAAATTAAGAAATAAGTTACACTAATTAACAGTCATTAATTAAGGACTTTTCCAGTTTTGGCCACTTTTGATCTTTTCGTTCTTGGTTGCGCTTGACCTCAGAATATGTGGGACGTGTTGTTCTTCATTCTCTACTAATTTCCACACACAACAAATTATTTCCGTAATCTTCTTAACCGGCTTCGATATAGGACCATGTTGGGAATTTCAGGAAGTTCCAAATAAAAGAGACTTGTGAAAATAAAAAAGGGAACAAAGGGAAAAAAGGGAACCGTGTATTGCCGAGTGTAAATAAGCTAGTTAAAATTACAAAGAAAATTGCATAAGTTGGCTTGCGTACGTTTGCTTTTGTGAAACCGTCAGGCGCACAAATTTTGTTGCAATAATTATATCTTAATTATATAATAATCTTCGCTTCAACAATGCTAACTTGTAAGTTACTTTGATGTTTTGCGTTCTATTTTTTTTATTATTATTAACTGTTACAAATTTAGCTTAAATTGTCCGCCTTTACTTTGCATTTTGATCCGGGCGGGTCCGCGAGGCCGGGCTGGAAGGTCATGCAGCTGCCGGAAAGGGATAGGTACGCACGGTGGTTAACACTGGCGATCGCAGCAGATCGCGCGCGGATGTGGCAGCGCACTGTGGAAAATAGTAGAACAACGGCGTATCAAAAATGATTTTTGACTAAAGATTTAATTGACATACACATTTAATTTCATTTGTCAGTTTAGATGTCATACTTTATTATACTGAAGGTAGATAGGTATGTTATAAAAATACATATAAAATATGTCTTTTCCCATACTCATCTCGTTGTGCCGTATGATTTTGGAACTTTCGACGTCGCAATTCGTATAAATTTTGTTAGATAAGGCATGTGCTATTATATATTTATATAAAGCCCATCTTACGTAATTGTCAATAATAGTTGATATTTTTCAAATTTGTTGTGTAATGTGAAGAAAATAAATCATAATTAAAAATGGGGACATAAACCTATCTTGATTCAATTCATTAAAGGTAGCGACTGTTAGCGAAGCTTGCCGAAGCTTCGAATTATATATTATTTCATAGCGTAGGTATTCAAATTCAAAATTTTATAAAAATCAGCTGCGGTTTTTTGTGATTTCTAAAGATATGAAAGAAATCATAAGAAATGTCCTACCGCAGAAAAATACCGTTATTAAGCAACGCCATAAGATAATATAGATGCGATTGCATTTATCATATTTATCAATATTATAAACACAAAATATAAAATATATAAATAAATATTTAATGCTCTGACATTAATTTCATGAATTTAGTACCATACGCAGTCGTTTGTCACTGAATATACTTTTCTTTTTATGAAGTTTCTGAGGACAACTCACGTTTGATAATTAGTGATAAAAAAAATACTAACATAATTTAACAGTCCCAAGCATCACGAAAGTCAACGACCATCGATTTCTCTCCGTTTACTTGCAACTGGAAAACGAAGCAGACCATTTAATTCTTCAGAATTTAGTAAGAATCCCAAAAATACTACACTACTTAATGAATATGTATTCGAACACGTCTTTGGTGCATATATTCAAAGGCTGCGATCAAAGGAAGAAAATAATGAACACAAGTCGTGGAAGCATTAATTACACAGAGAAAAAATATCAGTGCTAAAATTGATGGACAACTCTAATGACATCCAAACGCTGAGCGATCAGGAAGGGCTCAATATTTATATTTGAAGAATACTATGGATGAACGGAACTTTTTCTCATTACCACCTTATAAGTACAAAAAGTAAACCCATCAGCTAATGAAATTACAAATACGTGTGCAAAAATGTTATCGCTACAGGATTTATTAGATGGCATTACAGCGAGAATATTGATGATAGTGTCCGCGTACAAAAATGCTTTGAAACAGTTAGTTATACAGTAATTGGGGTTGTGGTGGCTCGTCTGGTCAAAGTGAGTATAAACAAACACTTCCAGAGGAGTCTGAACATGTGTCACACTCATACTTTTTCGTCGCGTCTGTTGTGCCCATGAGATTAATTGATGAAATGACTTGTTTGGCAAAATCCTGTGCCTTCCTCCATGACATTTTGTCCTCCTATTTTAATTGAGTTTTCGAAAGAAACTCGAGAAAACAAACTGTTGTTAACGATATTCAGAATCAAATTGATTCTTTGAGTCCATCGTTGATTGTTAAAATAAAAAATAAATAAAATATATACGTTGCAAAAATATACGTCAATCATATTTGATTGGTATTATATTCCATCTTCGGTACACAAGATATTGATTCACGGAGAGGGTATAATTAATCATTTTACAGTGTTACCTATCGGGACAACTTTCAGATGAAGCTCAAGAAACTCATAATACAAGAAAAATTATTACACCACGCAAATGCTCAAGATCTGCTACAAATGAAGATCTATTTCACACGTTACTTTGTACTTCTGATTCATATATTACTAGTATCCGAAAACCTTATGTTAAAAATCGAAAGGAGCTTGACGAGAAGACGCTACGTCTATTGAAAGTGGACCAAATCGTCACTGATTCTGAAAAATATATTAATTATATGACAATAATAAAGGTTTAACTGCTTCCGTGGCCGAACGGTTACCATGCCGGACTGCCACGCAGAGGTCCCAGGACTCCCAGACCGGGAGAAATATTTGTGTGGCCTACATTTATTTCTCTCGTGAGTTTGGATGTAATTTGTGTATGTCCATGGCACCCGCGACACAGGGTTTCCTTATTGCGGGCCATGTGAGTGTGTGCGTTATTATTATTATATTAATAGGTCATGATAGAAGAGAGAGAGACTGGAGTTTAAAACAGATATCCGAAATAATAACAAATAAGTTTTTTTCTTGTCTCGTATTTTTATTTTGTATTATTTTAAGTAAAATTTATAAACACTTTTAATTTATTTTATGAATAAAGAATTATCGTAGCCAAGGCATTTCTATTATTTTTTTTTTTTGTAAATAGTGAGGTGGGTAGTATTTACCAGAAGATTTAAGATTTTGTACATTTTTTTCTCTCAATTACGGGTAGTTAAATAAAAATGTATAATTATGCAATTAAAACAGTCATAATTCCACTAAGTATAAAAATAATTTAAAGGCGTATCTCGAAAAACAAAAAGTCACACACATGCATTTCTCGAAAAACAAAAAGTTACATGCATGCATTTTTGATCCGTAACTAACCTAAATTTTCCATAGTGCAGCGGCGCGCGCACGTCCATCACCCCACTCACGGTATTCACTTCCCCCACCCCGACCATTTTACCCCGTTGCAGCTATTCCTGGTGCTAGGCCTGCTGCTGCGCCTGTACCTGGTGTTCCTTTCGCATTTTGCGCTTATCTTCGATCTCTTTTTGTATACAGTATATCTTTTCGGCGAGCAAATGATAGTACTCTGAGCGCGTGTTCGCCATTTCGTAAATATCGCCTTCTATCTTTCTTGCGTACGGGACTAAGTTGTGCATTCTCTTGTCTAGCATCGCTATGGGGTCCGGCTTTGGAAAAATAGCTTGCACCCTACAAGATAAAACTGTAGTAAATAATTTAAATTATCTAAAGAAATTCTCTGATACAATAACAATGTCTTCTTTAAACTTTATCAATTAACAACTAAATATAAATTGTAGCAACGCTTTAGAGAACTACACATTTTTGAGTAGTTTACAATAATTTGTCGACTTTCGTAAGACCTACAATTTATAAACAAGGTGGTTTCTGAGATCGGCTGTTATAGACCGGTGCCATTCCTTCTCGCAGACAGGGCTTGTCGCCACGAGGCCACCAGGAAGCTGGAATGTACAGGTACCCATCTGCCAAAAATATCTCTGTAAAATACTCATCCTACTAAATTAACTAAAATAAATTAAAAAAAAAATAAAAGCCATAACATAAGTTTTGAAAATTTACAAATATTAATAATAATAATAATAATTCATTTATTTATTCAGATAAGTCACATCCAATATTACAAAAAAGACTAAAAAGATTAAAATTAAAGAAATTCACACAATAAATAAATCAAAATCAAAATATCACAAAATAAATCAAAATAAAATAAAACATGTCAGAATATTTACAAATCGGCAAAAGTCAATTAAAATTAAATTAAATTAAAAGTAATTAAATCAATTTTTCTTTCGATTCATTCATTTATGTCAATTAACCTAATAATACTTATGAAACACTGGTGCATGTAAAGACATCCAGTGCCCCATGAACGGACCATCAGTGCGACCATAAATATGCTATTTTGATCTTGGATTTGCGATAGAGTTGTTCGTTAAACACCAACCAAAAAATAAAAAACAACAAAAAAACAAAACCAAAAAACAGTACTAACAAGTTGGGGCTGTTGTTGTTGCAAGTCAGGCTGCGATTGTTGCAAAAGCTGCCGTTGCTTGGTCTGCTGCTGTGGCACGACATCCGCGAGGCCGTGCGTGCACAGAACGCCCATGCGCGGGAGTGGCGTACACGGGTAGCATACTCCCGGCCCCATGTCCCCGTCGCCCATGCTGGACACGGACGTCATCTCGTATGCCTGCTGTGGGCACACCGCTCGTTTTATCACGGCGCATGACAATAACACCAATTTCATTATCGCGGCGTAGAGCGACCGCATCGTTTTTCCTACAACAACGTAGAACGCAACCATTTCTAATATACTAGGTTAATAGCTAGCTTATTCTTGGTAATTAACAGCAGCCGTGTATCTGATACACTAATATAATCGTAATCGTTATTTTTAACTTTATTTTTATTTTATTTTCAACGAAAAAATCACGGACACTATTGTTGTGATCTTTTTTCGCGTCAGCCAGACAGATAGTGAACGCCACTGAAATCTAAATAAATAGGCACTAGAAGTGTAAACAACGCTTATATCTTCAAAAACGGGTGTCGCTGCTTTCCCACCTGCCCTCCCAACATATGCACAGATCCAAACATAATGAAACGTACGTTCCTTTTTCCTGTTTCGGATACCCTGTTGTCTTTAACGTCGACACATTTGGGGGAACTGAAAATAAAAAATATTTACGTACATTTCCCAGTCATTGCCTCAGTGGCCGAACGGTTACCATGCCGGACTGTCACGCAAAGGTCTCAGGTTCGATACCCAAGTCGGGAGAAATATTTCCATGGCCTTTTCCTTGCCTTGCCTTGACATTTATTTGTCTTGTGAGTTTGGGTGTAATTTGTGGTTGTCTATGTGTGTGTCCTTGGGACCCGCGACAAACCCTGTTTGTGCGGGGCTATATTGAGTGTGTGCGTTAATATTATTATTATATTGTATTAAAAATATGTATGAAAAGTAAATGATATCCTTTCACGTCAAGTTAACACTTATTTACGTTTATCAGTTTTCTAAAACGTTTTATTGTTTAAACATAATTTTACATGTCCATAAATAACACATATCGACGCCTTAGTTTCTCAAAAACGTATCTTATGAAGAGTGATTATTCAGGATGGCAAAATTTCTATTTTATTTTAAATTTCTTATCAAGGATGTTAATTTGGATGCACTAATTTAAGAATAGGTAAAAGCCAGTGTGTGAACATGAAGGAAATTTGATGTGAAATCATCCTGCAAATATGTATATACATTGCATTTTTTGCATTTCAGTTACTTTTTTTAAGATACGAGTTTGAGAAAGCAAGGCGACAATATGTGTATTATTTACCACTGTTACAATAACGCACAAAACATTTATCTCAATAGTTTATCAAAACCAAAATAAAAGTGTCTAGTCTGATCATTAGCTCACAACTGCAATATTACAAAAAATACCATATCGTAGATGATAATATATTACATTATCTCATTTATATTTGAGAGCTTCATTTATTTACGTTGGTTCACGTTGACAACGACACGAATAAACTGATTCTTATAGTGAATAATTTTATTTTAATAAAAACAGCTTACCGGTGATATTTTATTCCTGTATTAGTATAATTACAGCTAGTGGAAGAGTTTCAGCAATTTGAAATGCTGCAAAACACCATATTTACACACTGTTTCGCTTTGAACAATACTGTTCTGTGACAATATGTCACTGTGTAGGTGTACGACTTCTATTGCCTATTATTTAGATTTCTGTGGTGGGCGCGTGTTGTTGTAAACGATATGAACTGCTTGGTTTAATGAAGGGAACCTCAACTTTCAACTACAACTTTAGGAGTAAACACGTTTTTTAATATTTTTTCCCAAGGACGTAAAAGCGAGTGTCTCGGATGGCGGTCGGACCCTACTGAGAACTCGGATAAGTCTTTATTCACGTTGTGCAATTTGTTTATCAAATGTATAAGGAAAATACGTTTAAAAATTGATTTTCCTCTTCTGGTACGAAATTACGATATGTTATGTACTTGTACTTAATTAAACAACATCCTCCGAATGCTAATTCAAGATATTAAGCTAATCCGAATACTAAGTCAGGGATTAGGGTATCTTCCAATTTCGGCGGTTCGTCCTATACGTGCGAATAAGTGTGTCGAGGTTTCTTAATTATGATTTCACACAGTGAATTCTAAAATTTCATTATTTCGGTTCTTTGGACGCGGACAAGTGTGCGATCACCATTGTCGCGTCCAGCTTCCGTGGATGACCAGCGTCCAGCCTCCATGGATGACCAGACTGACACGCCGCAAAGACAGACTTAGTAGACTGGCAGGAATTCGAAATTAGACCGACTTTATTTTGGACAAAAGAAGACGACCGACCTTCCTTTTCTTGACAGAGGACAACGAGGGCAGTCCTTACTAAACCACCGACGCGAGCGGACGACTTCTCCTGACTGAACTGTACAGACAGTACAACCATTCCAGACCATTTGTACATACTAAAGTATAATGTAATTTTACTCCGCCCCTATATAATAGTTTTAAATTAATAGTGTTGTATAAAACATAAGGAGGTTGTCTACTCGTATTTCGCGCTCATCCCGACAGTGTCATTGTCACTGTGTGCATTAACATCTTGTGAAATACGACTGCGGTTGACAAGAGGTGCGACGACGGGTACGTATTCGCTGCTGTAGTTAAGGACAGACAAAGCGTGTCAATCTTCATTTACATTAATTTTGTTGTACGTTGATTCCTGTTTTAACTTTGACCACATACATCATCTATACATCCTTAACAGAGGGAACCAGTAGAAGGGGTCTGTCATCTGTCTATCTAAACGAGCAAACAGAAAATTTGTATGAGATCGTCGAATGTTAGCCAATTTGTAAGAGCTCTGTTTTTATAATGCGTTCGACAGGTCCGGGTCCGCCAGAGATGCCCTGGGTCTCTCTGGCGGACCCGGACTTGGTTATGGACTCGCTGGGGTTTGTGGTTAGCTGCAACTTTAAGACCGTCTTCAAAAGGTGCTCTGCAGCTTCGCCTCCACTAATTCCGAGTCACCTATAAGCCTCTTGCCATGATTCCGAGTCACCTATAAGCCTCTTGCCACGTTTGTTAATTGAATCCAAAGTGGCTAGTTGATATGTGGCAGAGCCATCCCAAAGGTGGCAGCAGTACTCCATGCAAGACCGGACTTGTGTTCGGTACAGCTGAAGCAACTGTCCCGGTATAAAGTAACGCCTCACCCTGGAAAGGATCCTAAGCTTCCTTGCCGCATTTTTGGCCACGGATTCGTATCTGCCGAACTTCAAATTAGACGACAGGTCCATTTCAGGTAGCTGGAAACAGTCGGCTATCGGTATTGGTATTGCCCCAAGAAGAGAAGAGAGAGAGACTGCCTGGAGTGTTAAATCTAAACGGCTAACCGTGGACTCTCGACAAGACTGGATTTCATCTCCACTGACACTTGCATTGGTCAAGTATCTATCTACAACTGTGCTGTCATCAGCATACGCAAAAGTACCTGGAATTAACATATCATTGATATGCGGCAGAAAGAGAGTTGCAGACAGTACGGAACCCTGAGAAACTCCGTCATCTCTCGCCATATGTTCGGAAGAGTAGCCTTCTAAGACCACTCGAATCGAACGTTCGCTCAAGAAATACGAGATCTAATTGTAAAGGTCAGCGGGCAGTCCATAAGAGGGAAGCTTACTTAAAAGGCTTGCGTGCCTGACCCTGTCAAAGGCTTTAGAAATATCCAAAGACACTGCAAGTGCTTCGCCTTGTTTTTCTATAGCCTCGTTCTATATGTGACATACACAATAAGATCCCCAGTCGTCGGATTCCGTACTAGCGATCACTGTGGAGGTGGTTGTCTTATACAAATCTTACAAGAAATATATTAACTTACTAACAAACCAATTTGTTCCATTAAAATACCTACGAGTAGTACAAAATATAAGTTTGTACAGTAGACACCTATCTAAAATACACGTACAGAAAATAAATAAAACAATATATTGTAGACAGTAATTAAACCTGTCACAGAGGTTTTAGTTTATTGACGGGGTCCTCCGTCAAATATAATATTTCCCGCTTTTTTCTTGTAACTCGTCAATGATAACAATGAATGAATGAATGAAGTTTTATTTATTTCTCAATCACAAAACAGGCTTAAGACTAAGGAACTTAAGGTTAAAATACAAGACTAAAAATTGGTCAGACTGTTTTGTGAGAGACTGGTGCCCGAGATAGGTATAGAAAAACCTGAATTACGGGTCACCAGGCTTCCACTCTGCAGTTGAGCAATTTGGTTGTGGCACAGAGGTTGTGACAAAGGATAAAATATATAAAAGTTAGTGGAATATTCCGGATTTAGAATAATAAAGGTACTAGTGAACTAAACTTAGTATTTAAAAGAACCCTCTCAAGGTTTAAAACTAAGTAAACTCACAATCTGAAAAGTGTGAGAATGAGTGAGGGAGTGTTTATAAGGTGAATGTGTTACTGATTAGGTGTGTAAGAATTGTACGTATGGGGTGTGTGGAATGTATAGTGAGCGAATGTGTTAAGGCGAGAGAACTACGACTTGGGAACAGTTAAATGAGAGATGTTTTATTTGAGGATAAGAAGAAGTTCTCAGTCTCTTCATAATTTTGGGTTTTAATTCAATGGGATACAGTTTTTTTGCAGAGTGATTTTGGGAGAGCGTAAAAAGAAAGCTTTGTGTTTAATTTGTTGTACAAGTAGGGAGCGAGGAAACATAACAAATGTTGGGAAAAACTGGTGTTAACAGAATGGGCTTGGCAGACCGTACCCTTTCTACGTTTATCCTCGTTGATATTAGGATCAAATGCAAGTAGGGAGTGCTTTTTGAGGACAGTGTTACATACAAATAGTTGTCTAACGGTAAGCACATCCCATAGCTTATAGAGTTCGCTAGTTGGGTAACGGTAGGGAAGACCAGCTCCCACCTTCAAAATAGCTCGCTGAGCCCGTTCAAGTTCAATGAGATGAGTTTTAGAGGCTCCACCCCATGACGTTATACAATACCCTGAAACTGATTGGCAAAGGGCAAAGTAGACAGTGGTCAGAGTTTTCTGGTCAGCCACATACCGTAACGTCCTGAAAATGTAGATAAGCTTGCGGAGACGAGGACTACAGAGTCAATATGGGGTTTGAAAGTAGGAGACTGATCTATGATAATGCCTAGGTATCGAATTGATTCAGTTCTAATAATATGAGGACAAGGGTAGTCTAGGTGACTAAGGTTACAAGATGTATGCACGCTGAGAGTTAAATCCAACGACGGCAGAAGATGGGATCTAAGTGCGAAAGTCATATATTTGGTTTTTAAAACATTCAGGGTTAACTGATTCTGTCGCAGCCAGGTACACACGACATTGAGACCATTCACCGCAGAGGCAAACACCTCACTACAGCTCCGTCCAATGACGAAAAGCGCCGTATCATCAGCGAAGGTCAGAATCCTGATATAGGGAAGCTTAAGGTTGCACAGTGTGTTAATAAAGACCAAGAACAAGGTAGGCCCAACAATACTACCTTGGGGGACGCCGTAGGTGACGGGGAGTTCATCGCTCAGCCAATGATCGATCCCAACACACTGTTTCCGGTTAGTCAAGTAATCCCTGAAAAGACCAAGAGGAATTCCTCTCACCCCCAGCTCCTCGACCCTGCAAATGAGATGGGGTACAGAAACTGTGTCAAATGCTTTTGCTAAGTTGAGAAATATAGTAAGACATTTCCTTTTATTATCAAGGTTGGTCACTATAGAATCGACCAGTTCGTGAACAGCATCATCAGTGGATAATCTAGTACGGAAACCAAATTGAGAAGGTGATATTAGGTTGTGAGATTCTAAGTAACCGATAAGCCCTTTGTTCATAATCCGTTCAAGAATTTTAGACATTTCTGGAAGAATGGAGATGGGTCTAAAATTATTGGCACAGCCTCAGTCTCCACCCTTGTGAATAGGCTTTACGAGCGCAGTCTTGAATGCCCGAGGGAACACGCCGACGCCGGTTGAGAGAGCTAAGTTGCAGATGTGTGAGATTGGTAAAGCGAATATGCACATATCTTTGTTAAAAAACTTGCCTGACACCTGATCCAGACCCACAGCGCTATCATCTTTAAGCTTCACAATGAGTCCTCACACCTCTTCCACATCAGTAGGCAATAAAACAAGCGAGTTGCTGGGGGTCGGTGTAGTACGAGTGAGTACGGTGTAGTGAGAGTGCGTTTAGAAGGGATTGTTCAGCAAGTTTTTTACCGACACCCACAAAGAATTTATTAACGTCATTGACGCTTTTTTGCGAATTTACAATAAATTGTCGATGTCTTTCAATTTCTCATTATAGTACTTACACGAGTGTCGAATATGATGATCTCATATGATCTCTCTATGATGTGTTCAAAAACCGCAAATTACGACCAGCATAAAGATAAAATGTTTTTTTAGAACAAATTTCTTATCTGTGAAATAATAGATTGTACAACAAGTGTATAAAACCCGTAATTTTACCCGAGACGAGTATATCCTTAATACTTAAGTCGAGGGTAAAATGGGTTTTAAGAACGAGTTGTACCCTCTGCTTTTCACTTCGATTGCGAGGAAATTAAACAGCAATATTACAAATAAAAAGTAACACAACTATTGCCAAGAAAAAATAAGAATTTCCGCCAATATACTACTTTTTTCTTTTCTTTTTTCAGTTATATTTTACAAGTTTTTACTTTATATGCATTTCTATTTATTATAATGACTATTTATTGTCTACTTTTTAATTTTGTAATATAACACGGTTTAAAAAAAACAAAAGTAAAACTTTATTTTATAAAGTTCTAGTGTGCGTGGCTGTTGGTGCAGGCGTCATTGCGTCGGTCTTAAACCCACACTCGTTTTTTGATGCCTTTCATTATGTACCAGGCACATAAAATAATGTATTTTTGGTACCGAAGGAGATTCTGGGAATATTAAAGTTAATTAATTGTAGTAATAAAGCGAGTCTATACTACCGTTCACTATTTTATCAAATTTCATCCAAAAGGACACGTCTGTTGATTAGAGAACCAATATTATACCTTATGGCGGCCGTTTCTTATTTATGCTACAGAGAAAAAATAAATTATTCAAAGTTTAAAAGAAATTGTAATAGATAAATTAACGTCTCTTTTAATAATATGAAAGTAGAAATGGGACTTGGAACAACAACAGTTGAAGTAAGAAAAGGATGTCGAGCATGCAAAGTAGAGGCGAACAATTTGAGTAAAATTTGTAATAGTATCGAGTTCTTAGGTTTTCGCGATTGTTACATATAGGAAATGAAACTATTTTTCCAGATTTAAATTGCGTATATTTGTTTTGTCAAATAAACCGAAGTTTCGGTCCCTTTACAGGTCCCATGCTCACGGTTGACTTTGTTTGAAAAAACAAATATACTCGATTTAAATCCGGAAATATAGTTTCATTTCCTATTTGTAATAGTATTTAAAAAAAAACAAGAACATAAACACTTATGTTCTTGTCTTGTGTTATAGGGGTTAAGTAGCTCGCGTCCGTAGGCTGTGTACCCTCGAAACCGTACACGTGACCCCTGGTTGGTGCCTATTAAGATACAAATTCCGGTGGAAGACCTTAGTCGTGTCTGGTGACCGCCCTCTGGGCGAAACCTAGCCGCCAAACAGCTATGGCTGTGTTGGCTCCCTTATAGTTGCGCTGGGAATCTAGACGCAGAGGGTAGCGGGATCCGAAGCACGGTGCTAGGTAATTAGCTGATTAGCCTCCAGTGAAAGGCTGCACCGCCAACTCGCGAAAAATCCCGGGTGTTCCATCTTGCCGGTTGGCGACCGGATGAAAGGACCCGATGGTCACTCCCGGGAGGGGTTCGGGCGTCCCCGCGCGCTCCAGTCTAGTTTCCCATCGGCGTACCATATAGGCAAACGCGTCCCGTCGTCGGTCACATCGTCGCTTAACATCAGGTGAGATTGTAGCCAAGTGTGTGTCTATTATATATTAAAAAAAGTCTGTTTCTATTATCTCTGATTTTAACGTCGTAATTCAAAATTTAGTTAGTACTTTGTAGTATCTCTTTTGACTACTTGTCGAATTGCTATGATAAGAAGCACATGCTTGGAACTTGGTACTAAATAGGGTTAATACCAAAATCATGTTTAGTTTTATTCAAGTGAATTTAGAAATGTACATTTTTATTACTTTAATTATTATTTTTTAAATTTAAAAGCTCGCAAGTCTTTTCTTGGAGAATATTTGTTTGAAATTGTAATTTATTTAGAATAGTAGCACATTACAGAATACAGCAAAATTTATTTTGTGCTATTATAAATACATAATAAGTTATTTTGATGTAAAGGCGAGATGTCGTGTAGTTCAATAAATGTAATAAAATAATTTAAAAAATCCTGTTTCTATTACCGCGACACCTAGGACATGGGGTCTATGGATGAAAAGCTAATAAATGACCCCCAAAACTCAAAAAAGAAATTTGTTGGTCCATATCTGTATAATACAAATAAACTATAGCATTTTAAAATCTAATTGTTCTTGTTTTTAACTTCCTTGCATTGTAAATGAGAAACATTATAATTTAATAGCAATTGAAAACGTCCGGGTTGGTAAAACAAGAAGGCGGAGGGCTTCAGCCTCTGTAACACGGTGTAGCATTAACGTCTCCCGATACGATTTTATTGTCACTAACGTGACTTTCAATATGTACAATTCTTCTGCACTGTTTAAATTTCACAATTCCCAACTTTCCCTTTACGTAGGCGATGGTCGCGATGATTGCGGATGGGACGTATTCGCCCTCCAATATCGAGTCGATGGGCCACTAGGCACACTGTTCCCCGCTACATGCGCTGCTCGCTACCGTGCGCTGTTCACACAACTGTGGCGCGTGAAGCGCATAGAATACTCGCTGCATGAGGCTTGGCGTGAACATATATTGCTACAGAAGAGACTCAAGTGTATGCCAGGTGAGAAAAACACACAAACACACACACACACACACGCACGCACGCACGCACGCGCGCACACACACACACACACACACACACACACACACAAACACACACACACACACACATTTTAGTAGCAGAAGAGCTGTGAAAGAGTTCGTCCAGAGAGGTACTGCCACCTTACCTATATCTGCCGCCGAGCACTAATGTGAGCATTACTGCGTTCCAATTTTGATGGGTATGGGTGTTGGTGAAATTACAGACACATGGGACTTGTCAACTTTTTGCGATTTAAAGCTCTGAATGGATTGCAACTGCTTAACACCAGGCGCACGACTTTTTCGTTCCGTCACTTGGTATCATAAAAAAAAACAACGAATGGCACGAGAGCATCTGTATAATGTATTTTTCTTGTATCATAAAAAAACATACACACGACAGACAGCAATAAATTTTGAGAACATTGATCCTATATTATCCTATATGACTATCAGATGTGCTATCAGAAATACTCATTCTTCAACAAAAATATGATACAGTCCCATAAAATTACTAATTTAAATTCATTACAACATTAATGGTGTAAATAAAAATAACATTCGGTATTTAAATTGGAACTCAAGTCACACAGACCAGATATACCAGTCAAAAATATTGCTATGAAATGTCTAAATGTGTTAATAAAATATGGTGTAATAAAAATTATGGTGACCAAACTGGCTGTATTTCTTATGAATGTAACATTACCAAAAATTCATAAATTTGTCGAATAAGGCTATTTAGAATGATGTCTATGAGCACATGAACTATAGTGATATGATACTACGCGCTCTATACTACTAGCAAATAGTACTATAATCATATCTGAAAGGACATACTTTTGAGGTCTCAAAATATAATATCATGTCGATTCATACTGGAAATGTGTGACCATGCGTACGCACAAAAAAAAATCGTGAAATTTACCTAGTGCATTACAATTTGTGTCCATGCTCAGAGGTATGGGGATTAATGCGTCGTGTATCCTGCCTCCGTGCCGAAGCTTTACGGCTGTGCGGCGCGCTGCAAGAGGCCAGCAGCGTAGGCGCAGAGGCCGCGTGGGACGAGTTGATTACCGCCGCTACAGCCCGGCAGCATCTTGACGCCTTACTAAGACTGCACCACCAGGCTCTCGACAAACACTCTATACATGCAATGATACATCATTCCACACAGGTATTTTAACAGATTTTCCTCCTTTTTTGTATGCATAAACACATAAACAGCAAATTTTTTTTATGATTAAACATTTTATATTGCAGGAGCTACAGTCATATTTGGGTAACGTGTTAAACGAGACTCTCAATCTTCGCAACTTCGAGGCGATGCTTCATGCTGGTATTATTGCTGAGCTTGAGAGACGTGAAGATATTGAAGCATTGAAAGCTGAACGAGTTTCCAAAGGTAACGTTGTACTATTGGCAGCTCAATGTCAATAACAAAACAAAACCAAAAATAAATAATTTTTTAGGAGAATATGGCTTTACATCTGCCGATGAAGCTCGTGATAAAGAGAAGCGCAAAATCTTCCTACAATTTTTGGCTAGTCGAAAAGCAGACTTGAATGTTTGGGCCCGAACATACAGGTAATTCAGTTTTTAACTACTTACCATTGACCTACCAATAAATGGACATCGGGTCTAATACAAAAACCACGAAAAAAATGTACGAAGTTAACCATAACGAAATGTAAAAAACTAAAATATTCAAGTTCTTAGGTTTTCGCGATTGTTACACATAGGAAATGAAACTATTTTTCCGGATTTAAATCGCGTATATTTGTTTTTTCAAACAAACCGACGTTTAGGGCCCTTCACATGTCCCATGGTCACGGTTGACTGAGGTGGTACAGTCTTCAACCAGTTATGTCTAATATTGATGCAAACGACCCTATTTTTAAAATATACGCGATTTAAATCCGGAAAAATAGTTACATTTCCTATAAAATATTCAATTTAAATTGTAACGTCATTGCAGTACTGCCTAATTTTCCTTGCAACAATTTAAGGGCCCAAAAACACCATATTCAGTTTCTACTGGAAATTTAACAAAATGCACTATATACTTCGACTGAAAATTACTTGAACACAACAGTAATGGAATAGCCTTTATCGTAAATATTAATTAATTTTTACGTAATGGGCCTCTTTCCATCTTTTGCGCATGCAATTTGTAGAAAAGGACAATTAGCTATTTGATTATTTTGTGTGCTTTTGTGATTTATATTTACGATTCATTTATATATAAATTAAATACTATAAAACTGTACAAAATAACACTTTTAAATAAGAACTATAATAACACAATATATTTGTTTAGTGAAAATATGACACAATATCCTGTTTTTACACTTCACTGTAGTAATTTTTACTTTTTACACTTTACTGCAGTCATTTTTACAAGTTATCATTATATGGTACTGCATGATTGACAACAGCGCTGTCAGTCGAACAAACAAAGACTGTTGCGCGATTGACGCTCTGTATGCGATTTTAACGCCCTATAGGTGCGGACACTTTTTAGCGCGAACCCGGCGTCCATTTATTGATAGGACAATGCTACTTACAGAATATACCAATTTCCAAAACAAAACTAAATAATATATGTTTTGTTTCATATATAGAAGTCACGTTACAACATTAATATTGAAGCTGGCATTGCATCCAGAGGTATCACTACAGACTCTGGCGTTCCGACTTGACTACAGTGATTTCTACAAACGTGGCGACGCAAAACTGCACCAACCTCTTACTTATCAGCACAAACGAATGAGCGAAATTGGATTTGATATGGCCAAGGTGTGTGATGTTTGAATATCACGATACTTTATGTTAAATATAGGGTGTAAAAAATATACCGATTTACTTTTTCCTGAGAGACTTATTTATTCATGTGTAGTCCAAACATATTCCAATAATTTGTAAGATAAAAAAAGTGTTTCTTCGTTTTCCCAGAATTTGTTCCCGTAATCAGTAATCATCAAGGGTCAGATTAGGATGTTCCTAATGAGTACATAAATATTAGATACAAGGAGTGACATAGGGTGATAAAACCGTCAAATATTAATTAATTAGTTTTTTCGAACTCCGGATTTCCGGATACAGTTTTTTACATCGTAAGATAAAACTGCACATCAAAGAAGCTGAAGTAGGATTTTTTTTAAAGTAAATTCTAATAGCGCTATTTAAAAAATGCTGTAGATAACTAACTTAGTTTTATGAGCTAAAAGCAAAAGCTTCTTTCTACGTAATGCGGATATTGTAGATACTTTTTAATACCTACCTATAATATAAAATCTATTTTACTTTAAAAACAAGCATTAATAAAAATTGCTGGGAAATTTGAAAAAAGTAATTAATTAACATTTTGTGGTTTTAACCCCTTCGAGTCACTCTTTGTATCTATATAGACAATATGTACTCATTTGGAACACTCTTTTCCGACCATTGGTAGTTGTACAGTCTTTTAAAGATGAAATCTGTATTTTTGTGCTCTTCACAATACCCATAATAATTGTTACAATTAAGCCATTTTTTTATTTCCGCAGAAAAAGAACTTAGATGGTGCAAAGAAGAAGTGACAATTCGTACACGCAAAACCGAATTCCACATACATACGTTTCGGCTTCATTTACGTTCGTGCGTCCTGTATTCACTTCCACTTTACTAATAATAGGTGTTTGTTTGTTGTGGCTTTCCATTTCAAAACACATTTCTCGTTACATTGTTATCTTTACAAAATATACCTCAAAAGTCTGTCTCAAAGAATTTTAAACATTTAAAAGTAAATGCAATTATATATAGAAACTACCATTTCTAAAGACTTGTAGAAATAAATAGTATAGAATGTCGCAATAAATGTTTGTTATGTAACCCACTTACTTTAAAAACCAAAACATTTTCTAACTTGTCGTAACTTGGATGTTTAAACATGTTAAAAAAACTTTTTCTCGTAGGTAATGTCAGATTTATTACAAGTAAATACTTTTATTTTGAAGGAGCACCAATTTACTAAAACTTGTTAACGATGTGTTATTGTTTAATGCTCTCTAATAAGTGCCATGTATGAGTTACTATTAATTAATTATGAATCTTGGTGAGAAATAAACATTTTTTAATACTTTAATATTTTTTCACCCCCTTTAATATTTATTTTTGTGACAAAAAATCAAAAAGTAGCCTATGTCCATCACCTAGGTCCCATCTATCTCTATACTTAGATTTGTTATTTATTTTTTAACACAATATACTAGTTTCTACTAGACTTTCGTGTTATTGTTATAACACTCTCTAAATTACACTAAAATTAATTTTTCTTTAGTCGAAACTCATGTATTTTGTTAAAGAAGTGCATAAAAGAGTTAGCAATTTTGCCGCACCGTTACTTACAAAACCGCAGGTACATGCAGTCGGATTATTTTTTTCTACATGGAAAATGATTGGAACTTTACTGTAAGTAACCCAAGCACATTACGTTTTCGTATATTTTGAGATAAAAAATAAAATGTATATTTTAAATTATCATAATATTCTTTTTCTCCGAAACCATCAACTTTTCGAGAAATTATACAGGAATAAAAGTTGTTAGGAATGTTATTATCTATCATATTAAAAAAAATGAACTTGATACTCCACAAGTTATTCCTACGTCCGAGAGTTATCAATTTGGGCCCACTGTAAGTCATGTCTAAGTTCAGTCGTAAAGTACACTGCGCTACTTTCATTGGCGAACATGACTTAATTCGCGTGTCGCCATTTTTAGCTAAACGGGAAAAGCATTTAGGAAGGCAAGAGACTAGACGAGATGTCATGACTCCTTTTATTGGGATTGGGAGTTGCAGGTGGTAAATCCGCCGAGGGTTCGTCATCAAATCCCAAACTGCCTGCCCGTCCGATGCTGAACGCGTCTTCCCCAGACCGATTATACCGAAGGGCTCTTCCTTGTAGGTCCCATCCATTGAGCAGCCGCCCGGCCGAGGGCGTCATACTCATGCGCCACTTAGAAGTTACTCATGGGACACGCCACACTGTGTTAAGTGTCATACTAAGTCAAGTAAATTTATTTTCTGTTATCAATATCAAAAAATAAGGAACTAATATCGCAAACAGTGCTCGCGATGCCTCTCGCAACAAAGCGTTTGTTTTGCGGAGTTACTAGGAGAGAAATCAATACGGATCGTGAAATACTAATTCACGGCTTAACCCAGGTTAACTACACGATAATACACCTCATATACAAGAGTTTAGGCAGTTTTCATTTATAAAATCCAATATCAAAAAAAAAAATGTATATACAAAATATTTTTGTACTACTTTGCACAAAATTAAGACAACTACTATCCCGCTATCTACTGTATATTTGGGTCACTATAATAATGTTATTTTGTTGATATTTTTTGTCTATGTCTGCCGAAGGTGTAATTTTCCTGACGGTATAATAAACATGTCATGTCCATTTTGAAATATTCATATTTTTCAGAAAAGTAATACATATTTTTCCCGCGACACAGGGTTTCCCTAGTGCGGGGCTATGTCGAGTGTGTGCGTTATTATTAATATTATTTCTCTACTTTTCCACATTTAATGTTGACATCTGTCAAAAGTTGAAGTTACTGAACAAAAACGATGGAGCCAAGAGGTTTTATTTTTCTGTTGTCCATTAATTTTAAATCTCGTTTTCTATCTAACTTGCTTTTATCTATACAATTTTATTTTACAATTCACGCTAAATAAAACTTTAAAATAATAGGGGTTAAAGTATGAAATTGCCGATTTGTACTGAAAATC